CAGCAGCAGCGACTGCTGCCCTTCCTGCTGCTCCCGTTTCTGTTGCTGTTGCTGCGGGTCTACCGCTGGCCCTGCGCGGCGTGCGTGGATCAGCTGCTGCTGCTGCTGCTGCTGCTGCTGCTGCTCAGGTGCGTGGAAGTGTGTCGCATAGACAGCCAGCAGTACGGGCGTTGGGTGGCGAACCAAAGAATGAGCGAAGAGAAAGCCGAACTCCTCGAGCTCGTTGCATGCAGCACTGTCTAGTGTACAGACACCCCAGCTGCAGCTGCATGCAGCACTGTCTGGTGTACAGACACCCCAGCTGCATGCAGCACTGTCTAGTGTCTAGTGTACAGACAGTGTCTAGTGTACAGACACCGCAGCTGTACAGACACCGCAGGTGCATGCAGCACTGTCCAACTAGGCATTCCCAGGTGTACAGACACCGCAGTCGCATGCAGCACTGTCTAGCTAGATATCCACGTGTACGTACACCTCAGGTGTGCATACACCTCAATGGCATGCAGCACCGTTTGATTCTACTCCCGGGTGTACAGACACCGCAGTCGCATGCAGCACCGTCTAACTGGACTCCCAGGTGTACGTACACCTCAGGTGTACAGACACCCCAGCTGTACATGCAGTTCAGGTGTACAGACACCCCGGGCGTATGCAGCTACACCTGGGGTGCACATACACCCCAGGTGCATGCAGCTAGAGCTGGGGTGTACATACACCTAGGGAGTCTCTACACCTCAGGTGTACGTACACCTCAGGTGTCTGCACACCTGAGGTGTACGCACACCTGGGGTGCATGCGCGTACAGCTGGGGCGTGGGGAAGTGTGTGTTGGGGAGTTTGAAGAGAAGTTTATTTTTTTCATTTTTGCTTTTGGAAAGGACATTTTTATTTGCAAAGTGTCTCAGAAGGGGGGCCCCGTGGGGGCCCCCAGCTTGGCTGGGCGCTGCTGAAAAGAAAAGAAATGGCAAAGAGCTTTCTGGGGTGTACGTACACCCCGCGCCCCACACTGCTGCTGCTGCTGCCTTCGCGCCTTCAGGGCCTTCAGTTTCTTGTTTTCATTATTTTGCATTTTTCATTCTTTGCATTTTTCTCTATTTATTTCCAAATTTCTCCTTTCTAACCCGTATCGCATCAAACGACTTCTGGCTAAGCCTCCGTGCTGCTGCTGCTGCAGCAGCAGCAGCAGTTGTAGTGCCGCCCCTAGTTGCTGTAGCAGCAGTCACGTCGCAGTGCAGCAGCAGCAGTTTCAGAAGTGGTGCAGCAGCACCAGCAGCAATTGTAGATGCAGTGCAGCAGCAGCAATACTAGAGGCAGTGCAGCAGCAGCAGTTCTAGAGGCAGTGCAGTAGCAGCAATTCTAGAGGCAGTGCAGCAGCAGCAGATGTACTGGCAGTGCAACAGCAACAATTCTAGAGGCAGTGCAGCAGCAGCAGCTGCTGCTTGCTGCAGCCCTTGGTGTCTTTTGGCTTTTGCTGCTACTGGCCCTTCTCAAAGTTAAAAGCAAAGTTGGAAAAGAAAGAAAGACGAAAAATGAACTTCACACTTTTTGGGCTAGCTCGCGTTGCGGGAGCTGAGGTGTACGTACACCCCAAAAGCTGGACTCAGTAGGGGCTGTACCTGGCGGGCTGCAGCAGCAGCGTGCCTCTGCTGCTGCTGCTGCTGCTGCTGCTGCTGCTGCTTGTTTGCTGCAGCCAGCAAAAGACAGCCCCCAAGACAACTAAGTAAAGAACAAGCAGCGCAGCAAAAGCGCCAGCGACGCCTCTGCTTTTCCAGCAGCAGCAGAGGCAGCAGCAGCAACTGCTGCTGCTGCTGCTGCTGCGGCCTCTAGAATCGCCCTTCTTCACGTGCTGCAGTGGCGCCCCAGCCTCAGCAGTTCGCCATGCCCTGCAGGAAGCAGCAGCAGCAAAAAGAGCAGCAGATGAATTGCTGCAGCAATTCGGACTTCAAAAAAATTGAAGAAAATGAAAAAAGCTTTTTAAATTTCAAAAAAGATAAAAGACGAAAACAAAAATGAAAGTTTCAGACTCTACACTCAACTTGGCGGTGATTCTACAGCCACCAGAGTAAACCCCAAACCCTAAACCCTAAAATAGGGTTTAGGGTTTATTGAAACTTCGGAAAGGGGATTCTCGCAATTTTGAATTCACTCAGAAACCCTAATTAAATGAAACCAGAAACCCTAATTAATCAGCTTGAACCACTCATTAAAAATTTTAATTAATTTAATTCAATCTAAACTCCATTGAAACAAAGAAATGCAACCTAAACCCTAAAAAAGGGTTTGCGCCGCTGACCTGCTGGCCTGCAGAGGCCGCAGCTGCGTGGCCTCCAGTTGCTGTGGCCGCAGCAGCCGCAGGAACTCCGGAGTTTTGCTGCTGCTGCTGCTGCTGCTGTTGCTACTGCTGCTGCTGCTGCCTGCAGCCTTGGTTGCTGCTAGGCTGCGACGGCGCTCTGCTTGCTGCAGCAGCAGCTGCTGACCCAGTGGCTCCCGCAGCAGCAGCAGCTGCTGCTGCAGGGGCCCCCCGAGGCCGTCTGAACCCTTTCCCCAGGGGCCCCTCCGGGGGACCCCCATTTGCTGCTGCAGCAGTTTGCTGCTAATTAGGGGAACTTTTTCTTGCTGCGGGGCCCTGCGGTGTACAGACACCCCGCTGCTGCGCCGCCGCCGCTGCTGCTGCAGCAAACCGGAAGCTGACGCCGGCTCTTCAAAGCACACTGAAAAATGGAGGCTGCTGCTGCTGCTGCTGCTGCTGCTGCTGTTTCGCTGCTGCGAGTGGCGAGTCTGCCGCGTCTGGAAGCTGCTGCCAGCTTTGCTTCTGCTGCGGAGCCTGTGAAGGGCAATGTGGCGTCCCCTGCTCTCGCTGCTGCTGCTGCTGCTGCTGCTGCGGCTGCTGCTGCTACTGCCGCTGTTGCTGCTG